CTTGGAGTCTCACTGTCGCCCAGACTGGAGTGCAGTAGCCGCTCCCAGCCACCGCAGCCTCGACCTGCTGGGCTCCAGTGATCCTTCCGCCTCAGCCTTCCGAGTAGCCGGAATTACAGGCGCATGCTACCACGCTCGGCTAGTTTTTTGATTTATCGTAGAGATGAGGTCTCGCCTGCCCAGGTGGGTCTCGAACTCGCGGGCTCAGACAATCCACTCACTTCCGCCTACCAAAGTCGCGGGATTACAGGCTGAGCCACCGAGCCCGGCATCTGAAGCATTTTTAGACTACATTAAGATTCTTTTATGTAAATTACTTGACACATATGAAGGTGTATTCATTTCTTTTTTGAAGTCTATTGCTTTTGCTGGGCATAGTGGCTCATGCCTGTAATCCCAGCGCTTTGATAGGCAGAGATGAGAGGATGCCTGAGTCCAGGGGTTCCAGACCAGCCTAGGCAACTTAGCGTGATCTCATCTCTATGATGAAGCAAAACATTAGCCGTCCATGGTGGTACGTGCCAGTGGTTCCACTACTTGGAAGGCTGAGGCGGAAGGATCACCTGAGCCCAGCACTTCCAGGCTGTAGTGGCTGTGAGCGTGTCACTGCACTCCAGCCTGGGTGACAGAGTGAGTCTCCTACTCAAACACACACAAAAATAAAGTCTATTGCTGTTTTGTTTTGTTTTTGAGTTGGAGTCTCACTCTGTCACCCAGACTGGAGTGCAGTGGCCACTCCCGGCTACCGCAGCCTCTACCTGCTGGGCTCAGGCAATCTTTCGGCCTCAGCCTTCCAAGTAGCTGGAATTATGGGCACGTGCTACCATGCCTGGCTGATTTTGGTTTTTTTTTTTATTGTAGAGATGAGGTCTCGACAAGTTGCTGGGGCGGGTCTTGAACTCCTGGGCTCAGGCAGTCCTCTCACCTCGGCCTCCCAAAGTGTGGGATTAAAGGCTGAGCCACCGAGCCCAGCTAAGTCTATTGCTTTTGAAAGGCAAGAAGGGGGCAACCCCTTCAGGTCCCCTCCCACTGTGGGAGCTTTTCTGTCCTCTAAATAAATCCTGCTTTCAAAAAAACAAAAAAGAGAGAACGCGTACATTGCAGCATCAGGATTTTATAAGTGACTGAGAGTCTTTTGTATAGCAGATAATGAGTAATTATGACTTGTTATTGGCTGGCAGGTTATTTGAAGGGTTTGTATGTTGAATTTGGGGACACAGCAGTGACCAAGATGGCCTCAGGCCTTGCTCTCATGGAGCTCTGGGCCTAGTGGGGGAAATGGACTGAACCTAATACCAGAAACTGACCCAAAGTGGTCAGCATTGGGATGTGGAGCCTAGGGGGGAAGGCACCTGTCAGCCGACAGTAGGTGGAGCAAGTGTCTAGACAGAGGCACTGATCAGTGACCTGGAGCTGAGAAGGGAGAACATGGCACAAGTTGTGGTATACTTGTCGTTTCTCTGGAAATCAGGGTGAGGCTCAAAGGGGAGAAAGTAGTTCAGGTGAGGAACACAAAAGGTACCTGAGCAGCCCAGGAGTGACTTTCTGCTGTTTCTTTCAGCTTTGGTAGTTGCAGTAGCATGCTCCTTCAATGTTCAGCATTCTGAGAACCCTTCTGAGAGATGGGGAATCTGAGGTCCAGTGAGGGATGCATGGGAAGAGCCCAGATCATGTTGCCTTTACCTTATTACCTTATTTCTTGCCACTTCAAGTCTCTTGTGTGGCTTCTTGATTCCTCCTCTGACTCTGTAAAGGGTTCTGGGGGTGACAGCCTGACCCCTTTCCACTAGTACTTTGACACTGGTGGTGGCAGAATCCACACAAATAAGGAGAAATGCCCAGTGAGATGCTAAGCTTCCCAGCATGTGACTTAACACCCTGGTCATCGCCCCTGTTGTTTTAGCTATTGGAGCCAGTTCTGCTTCTGGGCAAGGAGCGGTTTGCTGGCGTGGATATCCGTGTCCGGGTGAAGGGTGGTGGTCACGTGGCCCAGATTTATGGTGAGTCCCAGGAACTGGTCCATATGGGTGGGAGGTGGCTCTGGGAGCAAGGCCTAGTCTTGGGCCTTCACAAAGCTCACGGGCCCTTTTCTTGTGTGCTTGCCTCACAGCTATCCGTCAGTCCATCTCCAAAGCCCTTGTGGCCTATTACCAGAAATGTGAGTTAGAGCAAGTTCTTCCCATCAGGTGAGTGGGTGTGTGGGAGAACTCTTCTGTGATTATTCACATCTTTTCCCGTCACCCCTCTTCTCGTCTTCAGATGTGGATGAGGCTTCCAAGAAAGAGATCAAAGACATCCTTATTCAGTATGACCGGACACTGCTGGTAGCTGACCCCCGTCGCTGTGAATCCAAAAAGTTTGGAGGTCCCGGTGCCCGCGCCCGTTACCAGAAATCCTACCGATAAGCCCATCACAAGCATCAGGGTTTACCTGTATAATAAACATTGTGGGATTTTAAGGTTTCAAGGAGTGTGGCCTTCTATGGTACTGTGTCTTTGTGACTAGGTGCAATGCAGGAAACACCCTCAGCCTAATTCCGCTCTGGAATTTTTTTTTTTTTTTTTAGTTGGAGTCTCACTCT